CTGGTAAAAAGCAAGTAATTTGAAAGGGAGGCTCGAAATGATCAAATTCTTGCTGTCCAAAGTGTGTGTGTGTGTGTGTGTGTGTGCTTGTGTGTGTGTGTGTGGCAACAGCTGGCTTAATGTGAGGAGACGTTTCATTTTAGAAAGGCAGGACACTTCGACAGCTTTTCCACTGTGCTCTGAAGCTTGCATTTCCTCGTTTCCTTTCTATCTTCACGGTGAAACCTGCTCAACAGGCTGTCAAAGACACATCATGACTTTGTGTATTAACATTTATTGAGGATCACAGTAGAGCTGGAACCTTGAAGATTCTGGATACTGTTCTCTATCTTCTTCCATGTTAGACAGACCTTTTAGACTCAGTCCCTGTGGTCCTCTCTGCCACCTTACACATAAATCAACCTGCATCCTTGCATTGACAGTGATGTATACACACACACACACACACACAGGGCATGAGATGATTGTGGTCATGATACACACATGCCATATGGGCCTGAAACAAAGTACACTAATGGCCTGTATTTATGATGGTTGCCTACAGTATTCATGAATCATAGTGAATTAATTTACACAGTCCATTTATTGCAAGGGGTGACTGCACATACTGTAACCTCATAGTTACTGCAGGGCTGACGGTGAAAGATATACAGTTTCTGACCTCGACTCAAACACTGATGGAGAAATAATGAGTATTCTTTTCTAACATATATATTTTAATTCTATAAGGGAACACATGATCTTTAGCTATGACTACATACCTTGTGCTCACAGGATGAGGAGGAAAAGAAAACCAGCAGAAGGATGGATGACACAAACAGACAAATATTTTATTAGCTGATAATTACTTTGGTTATTTATCAGATGCAAATTAAAAAGTTTGAAATTTTTTGATCCAGCTGATTTAACGATGTCAGCACATAAATTTGGGCTTTGGCAACTTGACTTGCGCTTTTCATTATTTTTTGACATTTAAGAGACAAGCAATTTTTTCCAGTTAACTGAATCCACAGTAAAAAAAAAAGAAAAACAATAATAAATCTTGGTCTCAGCTCTGTATTTAATGCAGACATGAGCCAACTGTCATTTCTACATCAGTGCTTTGAGATCACAATTAGCTGTGAGTGCTGTGGATGTCAGTGTGACTGGGTTCATTTCCCCCAGAGGTTTACTCTCAGCTCACACTGAATGAGAGAGTCAGAGGGAAAAGTTTTAGGAGACATGGATACTAACCCGAACCCTGAGTTTAATAACATTGCTACTGAAAGTGCCCCAGGTCACAGTGGCACAGATCACTCAGGTTTCCATGGAGTTGCATGATTTGCAATCTTCCCTGCTTTTATGTGAATGCTCAAATTGTAAACGTGTCAACCATTAAACCAGATGAGAAATCTGTTCACTTGGCCGACAACGCGCAACAATGGAGGGAAACCCATACGCCATATACCTCAACATGCTGCAGATTCAGGACTGAACGTGCACAAACGCAAACATACATAATGCATGCACAGTCTTTGCACATTTTCAAAAGTCAACTCATTTGACCACTACATTTAACATTGTGCTTTTTAAAAGGAAGTTTACATTAAAAATGTAAACATGCAGCTCTGTGGGAAACGAACACGCTACAATGATGTCCTGAGGATAAAATGGTACTAAATATTTCTCTTTGATCCAGTTAACACTTCATCTTCTTTGTGGGTGCGTCAGAATGACAATAGGTTGTAAAACAAAAAGTGCAAATTCAGCCAACAAGCACTGAAGACTGACTGAAGGCCCCTTCAGATGGAAAGGGTTAGCGCACATCCCTCTTGGTCTGCACTATGCTGGCCAAAATAGATTTCAGTTTTTTGGCTTATGTATTTTACCTAACTGACTGTTAAAGCACACCTGATGTCTTTCTTGATTCGAAATGTGTTGTAAAAATGTGTACGTGTCATGTAAACTAGTGGAACTCAGACACACACTAGAATGTGCTTACTCAACCTGAGCCTGTTGGGCCAGGTCGGCTTCAGACAAAGTGTAATTTAGGTCGGGTCAGTCAAGTTGGCTGGGCTGATTTATTTCTACACTGCATATGTCTGTAATTAGGGAAAACAAGCAATAACCATGTGTCTGGGACAGAATTAAACAAAGTCAATGCAGCTTATTTTCATTGCACTGGGTTCGGAATCTGGTTCAGACACATAAAACAGAAATCCTGTCAGGTTTGGACCAGGCTTGGTTAGTTTCCTCTTGGGCTTGCACAGGGTCGGGCACAAAAATGTGGCCCATGCTGCACTCTAACATACAATATCAGCTTTCCCTTCCTTGAGAATTGCATGGCCCTGCAGTGGCAGTTCCTGTTAATTAGTGACCTTTGAGTATGGTCCAGCACATGCCATTGAAAAGAATGGGTTTCACAGTGCTGTTGTGTTTTATCTGAAAAGACCTTGAATGCTTATTGCTCAAACCCTGATGCAGTCATGTTCCCAGATCCCAGCAATTACTTCTGCATGCAATGTATTCTTACGTGATAGAGTTGACGATCAGAACAGAAGGCCTAGTTTAACTAAGTACTGTCTTCTTGAAATCAACCAAATATAACATAATAAATCACACTAGCAGAAATGTAGGTGAGTGTAATTATGTGAGCTCTTAATATCCCCTTACCTTGATTGCGATAATCAATTTAAGGCATTTGCATTTGTTTTTTCTAATCTGAGTTTGCATTAATCAGACAAAAGTTGAATGTAATGTATCTCTAAAAATCCTCAAAGACAAAGCAGGACAAATGAAAGTAAGAGACAGAGACAAAGTGAAGTACCTTTCCTTCACTAATAGCTTCATTTCATCACCAATGATGTGCCATCGCTGTTGTAATTATATCTTACCTTGGGGTCAGTATGAGGCAGACACAGGCATAGCAAAGTTTTAAAAGGTTTTGAGAAGTTATTCTAATGGAACACAGTCTGCTTATATTATTGACAATGTGGATCCAGTCGGACCAATCTGACTTTTATTTTCCCGTCATCAGCTCCGAAGCGGCGACTGATTTCCTCCCGGATACAACATCAAGCCATAATTTTGACTCACAGGTGGTCTCACACTCGCCTCCCCATCAACACATAATGAAGAGATCAACTGACACTGACAAGACAATTACACACTGTTATTTCATTCCACATTCAATATCTACACCTCACATTGTCTCCTTATACATACTGTATGTTTATCTATGAGGAACATTAAAACTCTTTGTATTCTTTAAATGGAGAGAAACTGAGAGAACCCAGTAAGATCAACAATCAGATCCTTGTTTGCTTTTAGCAACAATCCAGGGCCTAGTGCTTGTATTTTTAACTGAATAGCAGCATTACGGTATTACACATTTATTAAGGGAATTAATTAATATAATTGAATAGAAAATAGAAAATTATGCATTTAGGACCACCAAACTCTTTAGATCCATAAAGCCAGCATAATTAAGTGAAATAATTAAAAACAGCACAAATGAAATGTCTTGTGACTTCGGCTAATTGAGTTAAAATAGATATTTTGTTCTGGACGTCAGCTCTACACACTTCCTCACATTCCTCTGTGCTTTAAAAAAACACTTTTTACAGTAATTGAATAGGAGGTGGCCAAGGACTTTTGATCACCCTCACTGTTGGCTGCCTAATTTTATGACATTTATATTAATGCACCAAATGGGAACGGCTCAATTAGCATAGCACTTGTTCAGAAGTTGTTAAACATGACTTATGTTTTATGACTACCTGTATGGCCCATTTAAAAAGCCACGTCCCACATGGACTTAATGAAATGGTAAATCTAATATCCTGGCTCTGTATGTCCCCAGCACAGGGGGACAGTCCATAAAAATGCCCGCATACAGTATTTAAGCAGTATGGTAATGGATAAGTTGCAAAATCATGTTACTCTTTTTCATTCACTGTAGTACAAAGCCAAAAATAGTTAGTTCAGCAATATTATTACAGGGAACAGATACCAGAAAACCAATTATTATGAAAATAACAGTAGAAGTATTCCTAAACTTAATCTGATCTTGCAATGTACCCCAATATGGAAATGATGTTTGTTCTGCCACCTCCATGACACATATGATGCGTCTCTTCGCCTACCAACATAAATGATAAAATGATAGAAAATGTGGTCCCACACCAGCCTCCCACATGTGAACACACACCAACTGTGTTGAAACATGCAGCCAAGCTAGAGGTACGACTAGAGGCGATCAAACCATGAGTCTCTGTGGTGATGTTGGTGGGTGAGAATTCTGCATCTATGCGACTGGTGTGCATTTTAAACAGATTTGTTGTTCAGTTATCTTCTTTTATCTAGACTGTCTTTAGCTTTCTGACTATGTACAAACCTACATAACAACATACATGAATAGATGAAACAACATGCAATCAGCTGATGAGGTGATTTTGGTAAAAATAGGCAAAACTGAACATTTCTAATCCAGTCGGTTTGTTTTGAGTTTTGATTACTCTGTGGGTCCATCTGGGCTGTTGGCATACAGAGATGGGCCCATTTATGAATTTGTTAAAAATTCTAGATGTATTCTTGCGCATATCTAATGTAATAATAGCCTTAGAAACGTCTGTTTATGTAGATAACTAAATCTCGAGACACCACCTTTAATCCATAGTGTTTCTTTCTGTTCGATGGAGGTTTCTTATTTGTTTTATTGTTTATGATATATCTGCTTATAGATGAATTTAACTACTGTTTAGTCAAAATGACAGCATGCAGAACTAAACCTTGAGCACTGTTGGGCAACTAACCAACCTAAGGCAACCAAACACTGTTGACTTTGAGGGAACATCTTCACAGCACTGTATCTGTTTTGTATTAAAGACATATGTTTGCACAGGGTGCCTGGGGAGAAAAATGCACAAATGGCAGAAAAACAAGTATTTCTTTATCTCATTAATATGAACAATGAAATTTACACTGAGTGATCAGCTGTGCAGCTGATTTCAATGTCTTACCTGGTGTGTCCCCATATGGCTTTGATGGTTTGACAGTCCCCGAGCTGATAGGGGTCTTGGTGGGGCTTGGCCTCTTGGGCTCTTGTGTAGTAACTACAGTGAACGTCCTTTGGGGGGGCCTGGTTGTCGTACTAGTGGTTGTGGCCACTGTGGTAGATGAGACCCTGGCGAACAGCGTTACATTCGGCTCTGGTTTGTCATCGCCATCTATGCTATCTGTACCTGTTGGTCCCCAGTCGATAAATCCGGCCACCGTGGTAGTCCGGCCCTCCTGAGACTTGTCAAAGCTGTCCCATTTCAGCTGCCTTCTGGCTCTTAGTAACAACCTCATTGTGTCTCCTCTGTTCCCACTGGATAAAGCTGCTGGAGCTTCTGCTATAACAGCTGAAGGACCACCTGTCTGCATTTGAGAATATCTCAACTGGCAATCCTTACATGCTTCTTTTCCTTTATGTGTCGGTTTCCGATGTTGTTGACCCTTGACTTTTGGCCCAATCCCTGCCCTGTTGTCTTTGAGTGGAGGGATAGGGTTGAAGAGCCGGTGGGCCAATGGACTCACTGTTCTCCAGTGAAGCTTATTGGGTGTGTCCCAGAGGGGCTGCAAGCGAGGCCTTGAGCGAGGCACCGATTTGGGTGTGAGTTTGATCCCCAGACCCTGGCTGAGAGGGCTACACACTGAGAAGTCCAGGGTGAGGTGGGTCATGGCCAGCAGGATCCAAACCCGGTGCCCCACACAGCTGCCTGGCCTCAAAGCAGATGGACTGCAGAGGAAGGAGAGAGTAAATTAGGGAAACTGTTTTAGATTCAAACACAATTAAGTACATGTTCAAACCATACAAATCAAGTTCCCTTTAAGGATCTAGATTTACTTCTGCATTTATTTGCACTGTTGGCAACGTTCTACTGCACAACTTCTTAGACTCCTACTTAATTAAGCTTCAATAATAATTATCTTTGTAAAGTGCTTCTCGAATTACAGTTTAAAGGTCAGACACAAAGTAAATGTTGTAAAACATGGGAAAGATTATGGATTTGCACTCTTTGCGCTCTGCTGTCAAAAGCAGGAAGGACTTATCCTTGATGTTACAGATTCATATCAATCCACAGATGATTACACTGACACACAAGGTCAGACCTGGTTTAGCTGATCATCATATTCAATATTATCTCCTGCAGACACAAAGTCATCTGATTCCCAAAGGGCAATTTGATTATGCAGTGCAATGATCGGGAAGGTAACACGCTAAGCCAGCAGAAGACACAGCATGACAAGTTTATGCAAGAAATCTTCAACCATACATCCACGGCATTGATTTATTCACTACCAGAATGTTTCCTGAAATGCCCTTTGTTACCGTGTGAGCCTCACTCCTCTCTAAAAAGATGGATAAGTGATAGATAGGTTGGCTGTTCAGGCCAGGAACCTGAAGTAGACTGATTTTAAAGACAACCCTCGGGTACAAAGCTACACATTGATTCCTAAGGAAGAAAGCTCATTATGGGCTATCTTTCATCTCTGCTGTCCTTGGCCAATTTAAGCCCACACGAGGACTCCTTTTAGTAGCATCACAGAGGTGATGATAGATGGGAAAGTGTGAATGGGCTCATCGACTGTCAGATGCAACATCACAATGTCTATCGACCATATAATTACCAAATTATATTTTTACAAATCTCTTTTATATCATCCAGTTATAATGCATTTACAGTTGAAAAGACAAACCATATTTCTGTTAGTACTTTAGTCATAAGACACTCGAAAATCTATTTGAGTTTCAGGAAATGACACAGACTTAGACTACACTATGCCAAGTAAACACAAGTAATCTGATGGATTATTATGGCTCTGCTGAGGATTTGAAAAAATTGAATTACTGGGACATTTACTTTTATCAGAAATTCAATCTATCCTTTGAACTGGCCCTGACTTGTACATCCAAATCCAAACCAAACCTGGGATTGTGGGTTTAATGTAGGAAAAAAGATAAATCTATGGCTCTTTGCAGACTTCATAAAATGACTGCCTGACAGAAATGTTGGCTTGTCACCTCAGTGAAGTGGCAGACTCTAGTCGTATAACATACTTTAGGATTTGTGGGTTGCATCATAATGAATTCAAATCTGATTCTTAGAGCGACAGCAGTACTTCTTTATGAAAGAACATTTGAGTTCTTTGCAACCTAAAAACCACCAACTGAGAAAAAATTTACAATGGCATATTAATTGAGCACTAAATGGTGACTAATGTGGTCATGAAAGAGCCTTGACAAGGTCAGTGCATTATTGCAGTTAAAAATATGGGTAATAATTTGTCTTGTGAGTGTTAGAGCCACAACCTGAGATCCTGGAACATCCCCAATCAGCACACTTGAGGTAATTCAATTTGAACTCCCCAGACACATTATTTCAACATCTGATAAGAGAGGTGTCTGTTACTCATGAATCGTATGATTTGAAGGAGGAGGGAAAAAGATACAATTATGATGACCATATAAAGCACCTTGCTTTTACTCGATTACCGAAGGTCATGTTACTAAAGGTTTAAATAAAGCTGACTTTCTAAAAATGGGTGTATGTCTATAAAAACGTGTCACTTTTACTCTCTTGAACACATCATAGAAAGAATCTTTGGTGCTACAGAATTTCAAATAAAAAAGTGACACTTCCCTTTTTGCCTAGTAAGCAGTGATGTAACTGGTTTTATGGGCATTTTTTACTGCTGCACCAACGTATTCTTTAGTGTCACAATCAAGATCAAAGCTCTCAAGTAGCTCACCATTAAAGGCTGAGGAATGTATCCAAAATCATAACAGCTGTTGGCCAGCACAGCACCAAATATAACAGCTTCTAGTTCACTCTTCAAGCCAAACATCAGTTTTAAAAACTTCAACTAATTGTTCTTCAACATGTACTTTATGGTGAATAAGCTTTATCCATTCCTCTGTTCAAAACACAATGTTTTAATCTGTTTTCATGTTCAAACTTGGTCTGGAGGATGATAACATTTACTATTCTGGTTTATTTGTTCAGCTTGCATCCTCATTGTAATAAATTGCTACTGATGTAGTGCAGCATTTACACAATAAGATGTTAATTAGCTGATAGTCAATCTAAAGTTAAAGCCAACAAGTTGAGGAGTAAAGGACGTCTGTGTGCACAGTGGTTTTAGAGTATTTAACTGACGACACTAATTGGTAACATGCTAAAAAAATTGTATATCATATATACAGTACATTGTTTGGGTGTAAGCTAGCCAGTAACAAGTAGTGATAAGAGAAACTAGATATAATGTTCACATTTCCAGTTCCTCGCCGCCATGTTGTGCCATGAGCACTGACCTGGGCAAGATGCTCACTGTGGTCCCCACTCTGTCAGTCCACAGTCCAATATTTTATATCTTGGCTACACAGTGCTCCCTTTCCTGCATGTCACTAGCTGTTAGTCCAGCTGTCTGGTGTAACATGAGACTCTACGGTTTTCATCCTGTTCTGAATAATGTTAAAATAAGTAGCTCAACTATTTTTTCTTTGGTCATGATCTTCAATTATTAAATGTTTGTTCAAAATACATTCACATACATATCTGTAAATTTATAATAAACAGTTATTGAATTGTTTCTAGAATTCATTTTAAATAAGCCAGCAAGGGGCATGGTAAGACATTTATACTTAGATTGTCCAGTTTGCAATGTAAAGTACTCTCTTGGTTTTGGTACTTAAACAAACACACAGAAAAGTGATGTAGTTCCAGCACATGGGGTGGATAAAATGGACTGCCAATAATATTCCCGGAGACTTGTAGTTTCATAATGTAAGAACTCTCTCTGTAATTCACATTGACATCCCACATAATGAAAATATAATTTGGAAATATATGGCACAGATGGCAGATAAAGTGCAGTATTCACAGCATAGCAGATTGCTTTCTGGTGGGAATGTGTGTCTGGTGTCCTATTTTATGATCACATGCTGCATCATACCATTATTACTAACTTTGGAATATAGTTAAGCCCTAACAATATGGCAAGAAATCCCGTTAGTGGAGATTGTGACATCCCCCGATTCTGAACTCCAACAACCCCCACCTCACATTTCTATCAACACAAAGCATTGTGATTGTACATTCAGTTCCTACAGTGAATCCAGGCTGATGGATATTCATGGAGGAAATGTTGTGTAGGAGGGAATATTCCCATGCACATGTTAATTTGAGAACTGGACAACGTTAAAATTAACTTTGAGTTTTACATGCACTATGTGGGAAGGATTCAGTGAGCCAATGGGCTATATTCAGGTCCCGGATGTCAGTATGCCAATGCCATTCCAGATGCAAACGTACAAGGAATACAGTTACTTTGTGATGTTGAGGAGCGAACCACTAATTGGCTTCTCTGTTGCCCTGGAGGACTTGGGTGTGAAGGTCAGGTAAAGAAGAGCCTGAGTGATGTTTTTAACCTGCAGTTGATGGACAGCTGATGAAAGAAGCAGCCCAGGCTTCTGCTCACAGACACAAACTAAAATCTCATCACATGCATATACACTCCTGTAGTGTCTAGCAATCAAATTACACATACATATTTCTATACAGCCAGTGTTGAACAGAATACTTGGAAATGTATGTGTGTGTGTGTGTGTGTGGTTGTAACTCATTTTGTTACCTCTTTAGAACCTTTTCCAGCATTAACACTGACTTTGTCAGGACCAGTTCACCTCATGGGGACCAAAGCCAGGTCCCAATGAGGTTAGACGTCACTTTTGAGTTACTGTTTAAGATTAGTTAAGGTTATGGTTTTGGTTTGGCTGTCCACAGTGAAAGGAAGTTAAATAGTGTTCGATCAAGGATAGTGGTGTAAAAATCAGCTCTTAGCGATGCAGCAATTGTCCTGCCTCCATTCAGATAAACTTCACAAGTCTCCCAGTAAGATCGACAGTCCTTGTGGTTGTGAAGAAAAGTAAAGGTGGAGAGAATAAGAGAAACAATAAAAGAGAGAAAGGCAAGACACAGATCCTTGATGCAGAATAAACGACATGTTCGCTAAAGCTACACTGTTGGTCCTTATATGTTTAATATCACCAAATGTGTGTGTGCTTGTGTGTGTGCTTGTGTGTGTGTGCGCGCAATGTATGTTTCTGCTGTCCTTCATCAAACTCCAGCCATGTACAGTTTCAACAGAGAGCTAGTGATGTAACAGTATGTGTAAGATGTGATATTTCGGAGCAATATATTTGGATTATACTTCTCAGTCCAAATACGAAAAAGCGCTGGAGGAGGGTTCACCAAGCTTGACTTCTCTCTCTCTCTTCAGTGCCAGTTTAAGCTGTACTATATTCAGTAAATCTACTTCCAACTTATTCTGCAGCTTCCTACAAATGCCACTGTCAGGGGGGTTAGGATTAGTCCTTGACAGGCACTCCAAATTAAACACATGAACTTCACGGTTGAGAACCGCAGTCTGCAGCACATAATTAGGGTTCCCCGCTTTAATAAAATATCATTGGAATATGACTCAAGCTCTGATTTATACAGCTAAATTGCATTTTAGAGTTAGTCATAAATGAACAACATTCTGCAACAATATTTACAACATGCCTATGGCCAAAAAAGGGCTGTCCAAAAAGTGCAGACTTGCACACGAGGGTAAAAACTTTTAAAACAAAACTTTTAATATAAGATTTAGACCTGGAGACTTTGCCAGCGGTTAGAGCAAACGCTGTCCGTCACGCTAATGCTGCAAACAAGGGTACTTTTTTTTT